CAAGCACCCTGAACTGCTTTTTCTCATGAATGGTTCCCCGACTCATGAGAATGACGCATGCGACAGTGGCTAGCAGAGGTCAAAGCTAAAGTTCTTGGGCATGGAGGTCAGAGCTGAGGTTCCTGCCTGGCAAAGGCAGATGCATCACACAAGGATCAACCTGGGACTCCCACATGCATTTACAAATGCCTAAGGATATAACTAGGGGAGGACGGTCCACTCCCACACAACCTACCGGACGAGCCCCATCCCCTATTTCTAATGCCATCCATGAGCACCCAGAACTCACTCTCCACTGTTTACCAGCACTTCAAGCATCCCACATTACTCACAGGTCAAAACTAACTAGCAGAGTGGGAGGCCTTCCTGCTAAAGCATCTCTTCCCGCTGATTTGGAAAAAGCTTCTTCTAACCTTCCTCATGTAAACCACATTCAGAATTAAATGAAATATGAATTCAAATATGATCTATCATAATATACCAAGGCAAGATGCTTTATAAAATATTCAGTCTTCAGATATTTTTTTGTCCCTTTCTTCCATCTCCATTGAGCTTATCCTATACTATTTAATGGGCTACAACAAAGATCAACCAGGGAAGGGAGCACTGCCACGGGAAATCAGCCAGAATTGTTTAGAACCCAATGGAAAACTATTTTTAAACTATTTTAAATTGTCAGTTGAAGTGGAAAACCAGTTTCCTTGTCTACAAAGCTCTGATTTAGCTCTTTTGACTTAGTCATCAAAAATGTATTTTCCTGGGGCTTCCCTGGTGGCGCAGTGGTTGAGAATCTGCCTGCCAATGCAGACGACACAGGTTCGAGCCCTGGTCTGGGAAGATCCCACATGCCATGGAGCAACTGGGCCCGTGAGCCACAATTACTGAGCCTGCGCGTCTGGAGCCTGTGCTCCGCAACAACAGAGGCCGCAATAGTGAGAGGCCTGCGCACCGCGATGAAGAGTGACCCCCACTTGCCACAACTAGAGAAAGCCCATGCACAGAAATGAAGACCCAACACAGCCATAAATAAATAAATAAATAAATACATTGTGTATTATTAAAAAAAAAAAAAAAAAATGTATTTTCCTGACTTTCAATGAGTTGCACCTTCCTGCTTTGTATAAAAATGTCTTCCATTCTCCATATCTAAATAAAGTCTGAATCCCACTTATTTCAGATTCAGATTCAACAAATCTTCCACAGCAAGCTTAACTATATGCTGGGCAACACAGAATCGACTGCCTCTATTATCTAGAGATTTATCCTTTTACAGATGAAGGAACGGGGGCTCCATTAAGTTCAGTGACTTTCCTGCTTTCCTGGACCTTGCAAGTGGCATCTGCAGAGCTTCCAAGTCTATGCTCTCAATGGCAAACACCAGGTAAAACATTTTTCCCAGTATTGCTTGCAGCTGGCTTTATCTTTCTGGAATCTTGTTCAAGATAAGTTACAAGGTTTGGGGAGGGGTTTTTGCTCCGGGTGATCTCAATTTGGAATCAAGGATTCTAAGCACCTCACAGAAGGATAAATACAGCTGTTGCATACTGCAAACAACCTTTACAGAGGACCTTCTCCCTGGGTTCAAATAACCAGAAGTTAATTCCTAGTGGTTTGTAGATTTTGTCCAAACAAAGGTTCACAATTAACATTATGTCAGGTCTTATTCCTTTATGTCTTTTCTATCCTCTAACCACTATACCGCTAGTTCAAAGGGTCAGAGCACACGATTAGGAAGGAAGAACTAGGCCTGTTCTTCCATCCCTGTGCAGGCCAACAGGCAGACGTACCTACCCTCAGCCACCCGGGGTACGGAGGTCGAACTAAATATTAAGAGGGCTTGGAGTCAGGGCTTGTAGGGGAAGAAAGGAAGGGCTTTCTAGAATTTCAGAATTTCGAGGCATAACCATTCACAAAATATAAACATTATGTGAAAACCTACCAAAACAAGCACTATTTCTATAACCAAAGACAAGAAAACCTTCATTATTATTCCTTTCCAGGAAGTCAAGTATGTCTTTTTTGTCTGTTGTTTGCTTACTTGCTCTTGTGTTACTCTCCATATCCTATCTTTCGTGAACATGAGAGGCATGGCTATTCTTTTCTGTAGAAATCTCCAGGCCAGAAATTTTACCTCTGGTGGCTTTTAAACGCTAAGATGCTATACGAAACATGATACTGAAACTCTGAATAGACAGTCAAAACCGTACCTTTACTGTGGTGGAAAGTCACTGCCTTATTCACCTAAAATATTATATAGAAAGATATCAAAAATACTACCAGGATATTAAATGACTTTAGAAACAATAACAGGTCTCAGTTCCAATCTGTGACATATAAGGTGGGACCCCCCCCCCCCCCCAACCCCCGAATGGGTAAAAATAGGAGAGCATTCCAGAGACATTTGCAAATAAATTACTGCCCTCAACTGAACCACAGCTCGTTTACTGATGGAAAGAAAGAATAACAAAAGGATGGCTCTTACAGTGCAATGATACTGCATGTGTGAACTCAATTTACCACCTGCAAGACTTAGCTTAGGGTTATGCTCCTTTGATCTACAGAGGAAATGCTTTACACAGTAAGAATAGCTGATCTTTTTACACTGGTTAGGGCATGAGTTCAAGGGGTTCTCTGTCACCTCTGAAAGCACTCAGTTTCCTCACTGGCATTGTAAAAACCCACAACAGATCATGTTTGGTGTTATTTGTATGTAAACTTCCTTAGTATTACTTTTTAAATGAAAATCCATGGATCTTCACTAGAAGGCCCTTTGTAAAAAGTCAGGCCAGGTTGCAGGGATACTACAATGTCTGCTTCTTCACAAGTGGGTTCTGTGACAATTTCTTCTCCCCCACTCTGCCAGGCTCCGAAATGTGTAAATTCCATTTAATGAGTTTATTTTGATACAGATTTTCTGCTTTCGTAATTCCTGAAGCTTCTCAGGTTCAAGAAGTCCAGGTCGGCTTGAACTAAGTATCTGTGAATTAAGACTGGATGTTTGCTTCCAGTCTACTGAGCCACTAAATCAGAATTCAGGGAAATGGGGATTTTACTTACTTCCTCCTTCCCCCCATCCTCACAAGCATGAGTAGGCCTGGACCAGACAGTCCTAGGTCTGAATCATGCCCTTAACCACTGTCTAGCTGGCTGACCCCGTGCGGGTCAACTTCTCCAGAGTATTAGGTTCGCTGTTGCTGTGTGTGAAGTAATATCCACCAAAAACGGTCATTTTGTGGATTATAAGGGTATGGTCAAGAACTATTCTTCCAAATATGCCTGTTTCATGAGAGATGCTCAATGTTAGCTGAACCTGAGCGATGCATCTGGAAAGATTATTAACATGACTACTTTTATTGTTAGCCTTTCCTGTTACATTCTCCAGTCACATGCAGCACCCAACTTCAAGCTCTTGTAAAAACACTTGAACAGACTCAATGTTTTCTTCCAGAGGAAAAAAAGAAGCAGGTAGAATCCTACCAAGCCATTAGAATGAAACTCTCCTGAAGATGACAGGCACTCAGGCAAGAAAATCTGGCTGGCTGTCCCTTCCTTCCTCCCTGGTGTGTGTTGGTCTCGGGGACGGGAGATACAGACGATGCCCCTTGTCCTGGTCTCAGCCCTGCACAAGGCTGGCTTCTCCGCAACACGCCCTCCCTCTGGACCCGCAAAGAGCAGCAAGACCTCCCGCTCCCCCGATGCCCCCGGTGCTCTTTGTAGATGCGGCAACAGCAGATCCGCCTGCTCTCGGTGCCGCGTCCCCAGGCAGCCGAGAGTCCCCGTGCTAGAGCACTTGTGCTCCTGGACATGGAGCTCGACGGCATCAGAAACCGTCTGTGCTCTCCTGCTCCAGTGGCCCCGGCCGGCACCCTCCTCTCCCCTCATCCTGGAAGGGCAGGCAGGGCGCGTGCAGCCGCAGCAGTCCCACAAGCGCGTCTGCTGTGAAGGCGCCCCCATCACCCTCGCCTCCCTCCCCCAGCAAAGTCTTACCAGGGTCAGGTCAGGGCCCCCTCCTCGGGCCAGGCCGGGAGAAGCGAGTGGGAGGGGTGTAAGGATGGGGGTGCACTTTCTGGGACCCGCTTATACAGCCTTTGTCACCCCATTTCTTGCAGGAAAGAGAGCGAGGAAGCCAAGACCGTGTGGAGGTATCTCCAAATCTGTTGCGCTTCCAAACTTCCCCGTAACACCGCTCAATTCACGGTCCCCCAGCCGGGCAGCTCTGCCCAAAGCCCGCGAACGGCACCTCACCAAAGCCCCGCGCCCCGCTGCCCGCCCAACTCTCGCCCCACCGAGCCTCCGCGAGGGCAGACTCGCCGTTTTCTAAAGCAGAACCCCGTCAACGGTCTCGGAAGTTCTCCCACCTCCCCCTCCGACTCCCCAGTTGGGAGCCCCACGCGGATCCAGCTCGCGAGGCGAAGAAGCCGGGAGGTCTCCCCTCAAACCTTTGCTCACGCCGGGTCCCGTCCCCTCTTCTCTCCCTCCTCCAGTCTAGCTCCAGTCCCAGCCGTTCTCTCCCCCCTAGAAGAGGAAACTTCTTTCTGGACTAAATTCAGGTCCGAGCAGGAAGGTCTTTCCCTTCCCCGCCTCCCCCTTACACCAGCTCTCAGAAACCGCAGGGAGCCGGCACCAGGGGCGCGCTTTCCCTCTATCCCCCAAAGAGCCCACTGGTCCCCGACTCTCCACTGCAAAAGTTCCGGTAGGGTCTGAAACCACCAGGAGGGTATGTACATTCACGATTCTTCCAGAGACCCTACCTATGCCTCGTGACTTGCAAGAAACAAGTAAACAAAACACAAACCCCAGCAACTTTGGGGAGCGAATGAGTGTGTGTGCGTGTGTGTGAGAGCGCGAGAGCATCGCTCAAGAGTTAGGGCAACAGCTGCAAGAGCACATCTGGGAGAGGGGGAGGGGGATTGACGAAGAGGGGACCAGAGCGACTCCCCCCAGCCCCCGCCCCTGCCCTCTCAGCTTCAGGGCCGAGAGCCCGACCAGCCAGCGCTTACCTGTCCTAGGTTGATGAATCCATACTTGCTGGCTATGCGGTTGGCCTCCGGGAAGCCGCCGGCGATTTTGACTGCCCAGTGGTTGGTGTAGACGCGCGTCCGGCACACGGGGAGCAGGCAGCCCCCGAGCAGCGCCAGCACGCACAGCAAGTCCAGCCGTCCAGGGCAGCAGCAGCGCCTCCCCCAGCCCATGGCCCCGGCGCTTCGCTGCTTCTTCGGTCGCTCGCTTGCTCCGCGCACTAAGCTGCGCGCACAACTAACTTCTCCGGCCTGGGCCGCCCCAGCTCGCAGCCCCCGGCCGCCGCGGCTCGCAGCCCTGGGCAATCGGCAGGAGGCGGCGAGCCCCGGCAGGGAGCAGAGCAGCGAGCCTCGCGCCGACTCCTAGACCATCCCTGGGGCTCCGGAGACCTGTGCTCCCAGCTCTCCGGCCCGCGGGGCGGTCGGCCGGCGCTCCCCGGCTCGGGCGCAGGAGGCGGCTGAGTGGGGCGGGCGCCCTCCCGCAGCTGGGTCTCGCCGGGCTCGGCTCCCGGACTCTCCGACTCGCCCTCGCTCCTCCAGGGGCCCCCGAGCGCGACGGAGGCGGCGGTGCAGGCAGCGGCCGGGCGCCCCCTCTGCTGGCCCAGGTTCCGAGCGCTCGCTAGCTCTCTCCCCGCGCTCCCTCCGGCTCCGAGCGGCGCGCCGGGAGTGTAAGTGGCAATGGCAGCAGCACCCGCTCTGCATAAATGACTCCCCCCGCCCCTCTCGACACCCCTCCTTTCCCACATCTCCCTCCTCCTCTCCCTCCTCCGCCCGCCCGAAAGCGGCCACGGCCAGGCGCCAACCAGGTCCTAGCGCCGCCGGGTTCTTCAGGCTGTAGCCTCCAGGGTCCTGAGCAGCAAAAGCGAGTCTTTCCAAAGGGCTGGGAAGAGAGCCCCGGTGTGGAGGTTTTACCCCCTTCTCTCCCCTCCCTCCTGGATTTGTATTAATTTACCGCCACTTCCCGAAAGACTAAAAAGATTTACAAGCTGGTTCTAGTCAAGTGCCCCGAAGATTCATTCATCCTAGCTCTGAACGTCCTCAAACAACGAAGTATTTAAGGAGGTCACTTGCGTGTCAATTGCCGAACAAATAACCCGAGATTTGCACTTCGTTAATTCTTCACGCTTTTCAGCAACTGTTTATTTTACACATTCTGCTCTTGGGAGAAGCTACCACACAGGACCGTAAGGCGCATCGACTCTTGCAAAAGCCAGCCACCGCGGTTCCAAAGCCGAGTCTGCTGCCTGCTGACTTTCGAAATCCGTGCTTCCAATACTAGGCAACGCCACGGAAGAGTAAAATTCCAGTCGCGCAACTGGGGAAAGATGTTTCTGTGTATATTTGGTTTGAAAGTGGATGGAGTTGTTGGGGCCAAGGAAATAACTTCATTCATTCGTTCCACTGAGTCTGATGAGGGCTTCTTTTTCTCCACCAAGGGAGAAGTTTTGCAACTTTTTCAAGCACGGCCCTCACGGTGAGAGACTTTGATAGAAAAAGGACCACAGAGGAATTTCGAATGAAATAAATGTGTGACTGCGCCGCCTTCATTACTGTATCTTGCACTGTGACTGCAGCAGGCAGGAGGGAGCACGGATTAACCCGCTTCTGCTGAACAACCTCCCCGCCTTTTCTGGCACAGGACGATTTCTTGTGACTAGAAAGTGTACCCCTTATGAAATAATTCAATTGACCTTAAAAGTATTCACTCTATCCCTAACCCGGGTCCCCCTTTTCCCTCTCCTTTTCCCATTCCCCATTCTCTTTCTTCCTAGGCATTGGTTAAATGTATTTGAGGGTAATTAACCCATCACACCTATAGCTTTGGGTAATGATTCTTTCATCTGCCTAGGGCTTTACTTTCCTCCCTTATCCCCTCAGCTGAACCATAGCTGCAGACTCAAAGCATGTAAATTTTATAAAATTCATAGTTAAATTCATAAAATTATTATTTTATGGCATTTTACACATCATATAATGCATGCCCTATTATTTAATCTGGAAAACAAACCCACCAAATAACTTTATTCCCACACTACTGACGAAGAAGTGGAAGATCAGAAGAACTAAATCATTTGCAGAAAGACATGTATTTTACTCATTTACTTATTTGACTGGTTGGACACATATCTTTTGAGCACCTAGAATGTGCCAGGCATTGTGCTAGATACTGGAAAAAGAGGAGGAGGGGAAAGATGGGGAGGCACCAAGCACTAGTGGAATTCAGACTCTCTGAATAACTCTAAATGTGGTTTATTGTTATTGTTGTTATTTGTAGATATTAAATCATGCGTACTATGCTTATGCTTTGGGCTTTAGAGTTTTGGTCCAGCCTTGCTACTGGCTAAACCCTTTGCACATTCCCTCTTCAACCTGGAGCCTAGAAAATTTACAACCTATTAGGTCACTGTTTTTGATTTTTTTGTTTTTTGGGTTTTTTTTTTTTTTTTTTTTTTGCCGTACGCGGGCCTCTCACTGCTGTGGCCTCTCCCGTCGCAGAGCACAGGCTCCGGACGCGCAGGCTCAGCGGCCATAGCTCACGGGCCCAGCCGCTTCACGGCATGTGGGATCTTCCTGGACCGGGGCACGAACCCGTGTCCCCTGCATTGGCAGGTGGACTCTCAACCACTGCGCCACCAGGGAAGCCCTTAGGTCACTGTTAATTGCCACCCAGACTACATGCATCTATTCACAGGGACATTGGATTATTCCTCTAGAAGCTGATGGATTTCACATGGGATGGGAAGACCTCAGCCAAGATCCAATTCTCAATACACGCGAGTCAGCTGTGACGAAAGAAACGGAAGAACAGCTTCAGGGCTAACAGTACATTTTGACTTCTGTAAGAAACTTGCTTTGCTTACTTGCTTGGGGCAGGAAGAACCGGGTTCCTGATTGGCTGATTCAAAATTAAACAGCTCCCTCCCGCCTTGAGAACTTCCCGTCCTGTGAAGGGTATAAAGGCCTGACCCGACTGTTAGTCGGGGTCTCACTCACTTCTCTCCGAGTGGGACCCTGTCCGGACAGTTTGTGTAAGCTTCTATACTTGTATAAATCCTTTGCTAATCTTTCTGCTTGGTGTTGGTGATTCTCGGGTGTCCTTGGTTGGGACACGGGTCGCATTTACCGGGGAACTCGACTCCAGGCGTGTGGCTCCCGGACCGCAACACAGCCGTATTGAAGAATTGAAGGCATTTGCTGTCAGATTGGAGGGAGAGCCTGTCTGCTGATGATCCACAGGAGGGTGGCCACTGTGAGGACTACACGAACTATTTCATGAGTCGAGTTTGCATCATGGCCTGTGGGTTTCTCTGTGACTCTGGGGCCATTATTGTTTAGGAGAGCAAAGGCAGCACAAAAATGCTGCTCTTTGAAAGCTATGTTGCCTCTGGGCTTCGACTTCTGAATGAAATGAAGGGGCATCACCACACCAGGTCTCCTGAGGCCTGGAGGTTGTTTCCTAAGAGTGGCAAATTACTCACTGATATTTTTTCTCCAGAGTGTCTCTCTCTTTTTCTTTCCACTAACACGCTTGCCTTCTGTGAGCATGCCCTTCTTGTAACACACACACAGCATACACTGCATCAAGCATGAGAGAGAATTGGAAAGTCAGGTAGGAAATGGGCAAACCACTTTTCTGCTTTGTAAACCAATCCCTGGGCCAGCATTTAGCTTACTCAAAGGGTGTATTCTTCCATTTGGATGAATACTTATTCAGAAGGGAAAAACCTAGCTCTGTTCAAAAAAATAAAAAAGATTTGGAGCCTCTATTCATCTGTCAAATCAAACATATGAATGTAGCTTCATTCATCTTGTTGTCCATCGCTTTCACGGTTCTCTTCCACTTCAATTATGTGTTTTCTCAAAGAGTGGGATTCTTAAACCTAAATAATACTATTCCCACTGGTGCACAAGCACACCCTGCTTCCTGCTTTGAGATCTACCTTAATGAACTCATTAGTTCCCTTGATTAGAGCCAGTTGGCCAGAATGAAGCTTCCAAATAAGGATCAATAGCTGAAGCAAAAAAAAACAAAAAACAAACCTCCTTTCATGACCTTCAGCTGTTGGTTATCACACTCAGCCCTATTATCAATGCCTCAGTAGCCAAAAGAACAAGGAACTGACAGAATAGTAATGATTAGTGCACAACCATCACTAACATTGGAAAAGAAGCTGAAAAGCTAAAATCTAAGTCTTCCCCAAATGCTTCCTTTTTGTATGCTAAGAGTAGCACCCACGATTTGACCCTCCTCTCTCCCTCTGTAACATGCCATATGGCAGGAAACTAGGCAGTTTTAAGTTTTCCTCTGCCTTATACTTAGCAACATATTACTTGATAATGAGGCCCCACTAGTGTTTGGCCTCTCTGCCAAGGTCCCTCACAGCTCTAACAGAAAAATCCAGTGAAATGAGATGAACAGAAATCCTGGCAGTTTCGTACAAGAAGTGAATAAGAACTCCATAGGACTCATCTTGAAACTCGGCAAATGGGAATTATTCTGGGAAGAGTTTGCCTTCTGAGACACCTCATTTCTTCCTCTGCTACATCCTTTGTTGGAAAATGACCTTTAAGATCTCTTCCAACCTGAGGTTCTGTGAATCAACAATAAATTGGTAATGGAAAGTGTGGAGCTGCCAAGGGGGAAAACTGCCCCTAGAAATTTCACTGCCCAGTAGGGGAGTCAGTAAATTTATGGGGATTCTAATCACTTTTCTAGTATATCAAATTCAGAATCGGCAGTGGAAATTTGTCAAATTTAATAATGATAATAATAATAAATGGTAGTTATTACTACTGTTTATTAAGAACTAATTCTATGCCAGGCACTGAGCCAAACACATTTCAGGCCTTAATCTCATTCACAGAACATCAGAGCTGAAAGAGACCTTAGGTATCATAGACTCTAACTTCTTTATTTAATAGAAAAGAAAATGGAGGCCAATACTCTGTAATAACCTATATGGGAAAAGAATCTGAAAAAGAATAGATATATGAATATGTATAACTAAATCACTTTGCTGTACACCTGAAACTAATACAACATTGAAAATCAACTATACTCCAACATAAAATGTTTAAAAAATCACATTGACTTTCATGTTTAAAAAAAAACTAATTTGGAAGACATTAATCCTATCATGGAAAAAAAAAGTTAAGAAATGGATGAATAATAGAAATAAAACAAAGGAAGGAACTATACAGAAAGAAAGTAGATCAATGATAGACAGTTCTGGGGATTAACTGCAAGAGAATACATTTAAGGCAAAGAAAGTAATCTATATCTTGATTGTGGTGGTGGTTATATTTGTCAAAACTTGTCAAATTATAAAATGAATGCATTTACTTTTACATAAATTATACATCAATAAAGTTGATTTTTTAGAAAAAATCAAAAAAAAAAAAAAAAAAAAAAACGAAGGAAGGGATACATGGACCAAAGATAATAGTGTGCTATGAACCTAGGATTAACATTAATCTAATTTGCAAACTTGGGTTAATAAATTCAATGGGTTAATAAATTCAATCAGGAGAATGGACACCTGACTTAACATTTCAGATTCTTTAGATGTTTAACTACCACCATCTAAAAATATGACCCATGACACATATAAGCCCAGGAAACAAGTTAATTCAGGGCTTGATAT